ACATATTCATGCTCATTTTTGCTGTTTATTCTTACCTACGGAAACAAAAAAAAAAAAATTAATTTTTATCAAAAATTTTTTTATTTAAAAGAAACCACGATGATAACCCGGTCAACGGAAATTGTTATACAAACACCAATTAATTTTAAACCCCTTTATACTTAAACCTCGTTAATAATTTAATACGACGAAAAAAAAAAGCCGAAAACGATTTGTTTAAATAATTTTCATAATGTTTAATATATATATATATATGTATAATTAAAAAAATAAATATGTTAAAAATAAACGTGGGTAGAAAAAAAAAATAAAAGTAAACAAAAAAAAAATGTGTGAAAAGAGTAAATAAAAACGTGGAACGAGAATGACGTCATTTTAAATTTTGGCGGTCGAAATTGTAAACAAACGAAAAAAACCGTTTTAATGAAGAGTCGAAATTATTACGTTTCGCGATACTTTTTTTTTTTTGTTTTTTTATTTTAATGGCGGTTGATGATTCGGCAAAAACTTTCATTAACTATAAGTAATAATAATAATAATATAATAATAATAATAATAATAATAATAATAATAACCAATATATATAATAGCCAACGGCCATAGCGTGCTGGTCACACCGGTTCCCGTACGATCACCGAAGTTAAGCAGCATCGGGCGTGGTGCAAACTTGGATGGGTGACCGTTTGAGAACGCCACGTGCTGTTGGCTTAAAAAGAGCAAAAAAAAAAAAAAATGAGAACAAGACAAAGTAAGAACCAAAAACAAATTCTTGTTCTACTGTCGACCTGAGGCAGCTCGACGAGAACGTGAATTTCACTGCTTCTGACCCTGGCCACTCCAAAGATGTTAGTCACCGGAGCCCAGTTCAGGAGACAAATCGTTCCCATCGAATAAAGATGGACTCAGGAAGACCTTCAAGAATTGATGTGGTGCTATCTTATAATAAGTGGCACCACCGAAATTCGAGTATTTGTCCCTAAGGAATCGGGTAGAAACCTCGGATAAATACTTAAAAACTCCGACAAGTAGCCTTGTCGTGTTTAATGGTGGATAATAATAATAATAATAATTTATACCAGTAAAATTATAAATTCTTTATAACTTGATAGACTAATGTGAGACATTCTCCACGTGTTGACATTTAAAATAAAAAAAAACCTATAAAATTATTATTATTATTATTATTTAAATTACAACAACAACAACAACGGGAACCTTAAAAATATTAAATAAATTATTTTCCCCTTTCTCCACAACTTATCCACCAAACCGACGGCAAACGTTTTATTATTTTCCTCCCTTTTTACTTCAATTACATACAAGTATATAATCTCATCGTTTATTGATTACGTCACTAATAATTAATATTAAAAAAATTAAAATGACGTCATTTCAAAACGATTGTTTACATTTTTTAAAAAAAAAAAGAAAAAAATTCCCACATATTTCTTTTCATTTAATTTTTTTTTGTGTGTGTGTGAAAAGACATCGAATATATTTCAGCAATAAAAGAAAATGAATATCCGTGGAAAATGAAATAATAATAATAATAATAATAATGGCGATGATAATAATAATAATTAACCTCGAGGTATCATTTTTTATAATTAGCATATCAATCTGTTTTTCTTTTTTTTTCGGTTAATAAATATTTACTCGAGTAATTTTTTTTTTTTTTTAAACTCATTAATTAATTAATTAATTAACACCGTAATAAAATATAGGTATATGTAACGAAATAATAACGTATTTTAAAAGGAAGCAGAAGAAAAAAAAAAGAAACCTAATTTTTTTTTTTTTTTTTTTTAAATCCATTACTTTAAACATAATTTGGGAGTGTCTTTGATTCTCCTTTAATTAACTTAAATGACGTATGACGACGACCGTATCCCTAAGGAAGTAAACCCGATGTGTGATATATATATATTTATTTAGGTTACTAACAATAATAATAATAATAATATATTTAAAAACCTAATGAATATTTAATAGGAGGAAGGGGGGAGGGGAGGGGAGAACACGAGTCCATTCTGATAATAATAATAGTAACCTGATAAAAAAAAAAAAAAAAAAATTTTAAACATTTTTTAAATTTTGTCCATTATTGAGCAATTGAGTAAATAAATCATCATCATTATCATTTTAACTTTTCCTTATGTGGATTTGAAAGTATATTGAGATAGATATTTTAAACACCTTCATTAATAGAAAACAATGGTAAAAGTCAAAATAAAAAAAAGACCACTGTCACTTTTTAACTTATCATTACTTCCTGCAAACGAGTTATTTACTTATTTATTTATTGCATACATGGAGAAAAAGAGAAAGAGAGAGAGAGAGAAAATGTTTTTAAAAAAATAAGTATTTATATATATATATATATATATAAATAAAAATTAAAAGTTCCAGTTTTTTTTTTAATAATAATAATAAACTTCCGGGGCAAAATAACTCGAAGAAATAAAAAAAAAAAAAATGGTAGGAAGCTTTTTTTTTTTTTTAAATACAAAATCGTTTGACAGTGAAAGTAATCGAAATCTCTCTATTTAGCGGGGGGGGGGAGGCGGGAGACCGGGCCAGTGGGGAGAAATGTAAAAGAGCCACGCAATATTTTTTTGATAAAATTTAAAAAACTTATTATTTAAAAATTTAAGGACTCGTTTTTTTCCCCTTACTTCCCCTTTACCCTCCCTCCATATTTCCCCTCAAAAAAAAAAAAGAAACCCTTATTACGGTGAAGCAGAAGATATCAAAAAAAAAAATTTTCCCGCCAAAATATTATCATTATTTTAAAAAACGCAGTTTAATTTCTACCTTATATTACAAATTACTCAATGTCGTTCTACCTGTTTTCGTCGTTACCTACGATCTCATAGAGACATTAAATTAGAAACGGGATATTAATCCGTTACAAATGTACCCCGTTTTACTTAGTTTTTTCGAGAAGGAAATCCGCGACGTGGTTTGAAAAAATATCGATTAATCGATTCGTAATCGTTCGATATTTAAAAAAAAAAAAAAACGATCAATTTAAACAAAAAGAAAAAAAATTTCCTTCCCCCCTTCCCTCATTCGTTATATAAATTCTCATTTATCGACCGACAAATCGGGGGCAAATACGATAAAAATTTTAATCGATAATATAGATAATTCATTCGAGATATCGAAAACGATTCAAATAATGTAAATGGATGTATAAATACCTTGTATATATATATAAATTGCATACGAATCCTGGTCCGAGTGATTTTTTCTTTAAATTAACTGACTTTTGTCCATCATTGATAATTATATTACACGTTTATTCGACTCCCGTGTATGTAGAAAAGGAAAAAAAAAAAGCAGAAGAATTTTTTCGCAAGAGATTTTCTTTTCTTTTTACTTTATGGATTCCATTTTTGTCCTTGTCGTTAAAGTGAGTTGTTGATAAATGTGAGTATTTTAATACAATCGCCGCGTGATTTATAGTTAGTTATAGTTATAGTTTTAAAAAACTTTTCTTTTTTTTTTTTTGTCGCCGACTTCGGTTCACCGACACGTGATTTGCTATAAAAAAAAAAACAATCAAAATCGTGAGATTTATTATTATTATTATTTAATTATAGTCTATAAAATAAATTTTTTTTAATACTATAAACTATAAGGGATGATAAAAACTTTACGTAAAAAAAAGTGATCGTTTTATTTTTTTATTTTTTTTTTCCCGGCAGTGACGTAAAATTTCAATTATTTATTATCATTATCATTATTATTATTATTATTATTTAAAGCTCTATAATTTTTATTATAGCAGATGGTTAAATATATATTAAAAAAAAAATTTACGAGTAAATAAAAAGAAGGACGTACAATCAATATCGTGTCGTAAATTTTTTTTTTTTTTTTTTTTCGTAAAAATTTTCGAAATGGGGGACAAGGATGATGTGTAGCGCGTGGGGTGAAGGTTTACCCGTGGGGTGACCCGTGGGGTGACCCGTGGGGTGAAGCGTGGGGTAACCCGCAAAGTGAAAAATAAGAAAACTTTTTTTTTTTTTTTTTTGTTTGTTCAAATTTGTTTGTTTGTTTGTTTTTTTTTAGGAAAATTTAAATTATTCGTCTCACGATGAAATACTATAATAAATTAATTTTATTATTTAATCTGCTCTTCTTTTTTTCCATCGATTCGGAAGCAACTTACATAAAGTGAGTTAACAACTTCTTGTCTATTAAATGTAGTGACGTCATTTTTGTTTTTAAAAAAATTACTCTTTTTTTTCGCCCCCCCCCTTCCCCGCCCCAAGCCGCTCCCCCTTACGCATTTACAAAACAAAAGAAAAACCTCAAACAATTTCTGTCGTTCTCTTTTAAATGGCTTTGTGTGTTTATCATCACCGCATTACTTCCGGTTCGTGAAAATCCCTTTACTAACGAAAAAATTTTCCGCGACCTTTTTTCAGAATCCTACGAGATTTCGCATATCCGACATTGGAAGAATTTAAAATTTACTGGAACGTTCCGACTTTTCTCTGTCACAAATACGGAATCAATTTTAAACCTCACACGGAAAAATATGGCATCACGTCGAATCCGAAAGATTCGTTTCGCGGTAAAGAAATCAACATTTTATACGATCCCGGAATGTTTCCCGCCGTTATGAAGGTAAGTGACGACACATTTCTCATCATTCATTCATTGAATGACACGTCATCGAAATTTTTTTTTTTTTGTTCAGAATGCAAAAGGTGTCGTAGCCGAAAGAAACGGTGGCATACCACAACTCGGTAACATAACTCTACATTTGGAAGCATTTAAAAATGTCGTAGAACAAATCGTATCGCCCGATTTACACGGTAATAATTAAATAATTTCCCTTCATCATCATCATCATCATCATCATCAATAATTAATTAATTTTTTTTTATAACACAGGTATCGGAATAATAGATTTCGAAACGTGGAGACCAGTTTTCCGTCAGAATTGGAGAGATCAAGTCGTTTATAAAAATTTATCAAAAGATTTAGAAAGACAATATCATCCTCAGTGGTCGGAAAAAAAAATAAGAGAAAAAGTAAAAATAAATCGTCGTGTCATTAACAACGAACGACGTCCAACCACGTTTTTTTTTTTTTTTTTTTGCTTTGTATTATCAAGTCCCACGATATATATATATATATATTTTTTTTTATAGGCTAAAATCCATTTCGAAGAAGCATCGAAAGAATTCATGGAAAAAACTTTAGAATTGGCTAAAATTCTAAGACCCAAAGCGATTTGGGGTTATTATGGTTTTCCCTATTGTTATAATTACAGAACGACAGACGAACCTGAATGCCCGGAACTTGCCAGAAGAGAAAATGATAAGTGAGTAGCAGTAGTGGCAGTAGTAGAGCAATGCCCTAATACAATTATTATCATTATCGTTATTATAAAACCTGAAAAGACTTTAAATCCTTTTATCAAAATGTTATCGTTTTTATTTGTTGTGTGTGTGCTTTGTTTTCTCTATTCGTCTATTATGGCTTCTTAACGCCATTTTCGAGGTTCTAAACTTATGACAAACTGTCGAAAACAGGTACACACGACATTTATTAATAATAATAATAATACTCTCGACGTTGCGAAAAAAAAAATTTTTTTGTTTTTTTTGTTTTTTTTTTTAATAATCGAAATTAATCTCGTTATTATTATTATTTTTATTATTGTTTTAATTAGGATTTTATGGTTGTTTAACACGAGCACGGCTTTTTATCCTTCATTGTACATGAGCACGAAACTCAACGAATTCCAACAATCCCAATTCGTCATAGGAAGATTAAACGAAGCCTGGAGAATGGCAATCAAAGTTTCCGGTCCGAAAATACCACGTGTCAATCCTTACATATGGTTCAAATACTACGATTCCGAAGAATTTCTATCATACGTAAATATTATAATTCGACATATTATTGCGATTTGTGGGGGACCTCGCGACACGTTAATAATAATAATAATAATACCGAAATCTCATCGTACGCAAAACCTGCACCACAAACTTAACGATTTACACCCCAAACACCCTAAAAAATGACGATTTTAACAATCGATTGATCGTTCGATAGATCGATCGGTCGATCGATTAATCAGGCTTTGATTCAGGCTAGTAAAAACTATTTTCCCTCTCTCTCTCTCTCTCTGTCTCTCTATTGCTGACTCTTATATTTTTAAAAAATTCTTTCGTTTTCGGGTTGTTGTTGTTGTTAATTTGCCTAATAATTAATCATTTTTTTAAAAAAACTCCGTAAGCAAAAAAATAATATTGACAGAGTCGTTCTAGTTCCACGTTTTCGTTAAAAATGGCCGATATATATATATTAATAAAAAAAAAAAAATTTTTTTTTTTATTAAAAAATGCATTAAAATTATCATCGTCGACAGATGCACAATTATTATCTAACAAGATAAATTTTTAATTACGATTATAATTTTTTTTTTGTTTGTTTATCAAAACAACAACAACAACAATAAAAACGACCACTACGACCATAACAACAACGACAACAACCAAAAAACTTGATTTTGTGTTTGGTTGTCGTCTGCTGGTTTGTTTAATATGTCGTTCATTTAAATCTTTCATCGCGGAGCCATTAAACATGCCGGGTTACCCACATAATCAAAAGACAATAAATTAATAATAATAATAATAATAATAATAATAATAAGATACGCGACGTTAATTTTTTTTTTCGTTTGTTGGTTCCAGGCTGATATTTATTCGGCTTTAGATGTAACGAGAAAATATAAAATGGGAGGTGCCATCATATGGGGATCGAGTAACAACGTAAATTCTAAGGAAAAATGTAAAACCCTATTGAGGTATTTGGATACCGTTTTGGGACCCGCTGCTAGGAAGACTCTACAAAATCAAAACAACGTCGAACCCCCCGAACCCGTTTTGAGTTTTATTAATTTTCCATTTTTACCCCGATCGTCTTTGGATAACGATAACGATACGGATAACGGAGGTACCATCCCATACGACGGGGGTGCCGCCGACGACGATGATAATGATGATAATAATAAAGAAAAAGAAAGATTAATTAGAAATTTAACGAAAAATACTAATTTTTGGGAAAAATTATTGTCGGCACTCCTTTGACCTTTAAAAACTAAATCATCATTATTATTATTTTTTTTTTCTTACCTGTTTTTTTTCTTTCCCCCTCCCCCACGCTTTCGATGCAGAAGGCGGTGATTTTCACCTATCCAATCGTATACATTCCAAACGTTTCCAGAAAAATTTTGTCACCTGGAAATAAAAAACAAAAGAAAAGTTAATTAATTAATTTTATCATTCATTATCATCATCGCCTTTGATAGTGTCCTTAACCTTGAATTTTATTTATTTATTTTTTTTATTATCGATAAGTCAATGTAATTTGTTATTTAACAAACCGTTAAATAATAATAATAATAATATTTGTACAATTTAATTTTATTTATAATAAATAAATTATTAATTACGAATTTTTTTTTTATAAAAAAAACTAAACTAATCCTTTTCTTAATCCTTTTCTTAATCCTTTTTAATCTCTCTCTAGTTTTTTAAAAACTTCTCCCTCCCCTTCCCTTTCTCCTCCCCTCATCCGGCGTTTTAAATTTTTATTTAAATATTCATATTTAGTATTAAAGGAAAAAAAAAAGGATTTAAAACGCTTTTCCTTTTCCGCCACCTTTTTTTTTTTTTTTTAAACCTTTTCGCGAAAGAGCAACAGGTTCAAAAGGTTCGAAAGGATTAAAATTTAAAATTTAAACCTTCCTGACGTCATTTGAATTTTTTTTTTTTTTTAAACAAACAATTTCGGATTATTATTATTACTACGGTAACGATAACAATAATAATAATAATAATAATAATAAAAGAAAATCACGTGGATGTAAATTAGTGGATTAAGGTAGGGAAGCGATGACGTAGATGAGGTTAGCCATATAAAGAGATAATGATAACAATTGAGATTAAATTTTTTAAATAAAGCCCTACTAATAAAAAAAAAAATGAATATTAAAAACAAATTGTCCCACCTGTTGTTGTGCATTTCCGAATCTACACAACAGCAACAACAAACATTTTTTTTTTTATTACCCATCATCATCATCATCATCATCATCATCGCTTATTACAATTTTTTCTTTTGTTATGTTTTTAATAACGAATTTTAAAAAAAAAAAATGGACGCTGATAAGATGTCGTCGTCATCATATTGATTAGTTTTTTTTTTTTTTTTTTTTTTGTGATCGATTTTCTTTTGAGGTACCTAAAGATAATTTTAGTAGTTTATTACACAAGGAAGACAACAACATCAACAACAGCAGCAGAAGAATCAATCAGAAAAAAAAATATTCGCTTATTATTATTATTATTATTATCATCATCGAAAAATTTCGATTCGATTTATCGATTTTGTGAAATTGTTTCAAAGTAAAATAATAATAATAATAATAAATCTACAGGAAAATGTTAATTTTTTTAATAAAATTATCAACGGTTTTTACTATTATTATTATTATTATTCCTAACGTGACAAGTATTAAGTGAGTATTAGTAGTAGTATTATCATTATTATCTCCAGTCGTTCCGGGAACGCGAAAAAAAAAAAAAATCAAAAACGGATTTTTGTAAACAGAATAAACAGAGGATCGCAGCCTCCGGAATCGAATCGGGGATTTAAAGTTTTCTGGAACGTTCCGACGGAACAATGTAAAAAATACGAAATCGATTTCGAATCCCTGATACGAACGTATGGAATTATAGGAAACGAACGGGATTCGTTCAGGGGTGAAAAAGTCACCATTTTATACGATCCCGGAGACTTTCCCATAATAAAAAAGGTTTCGCATTTATCGAAATTATCGAAATTATCATCATCATCATCATCATTATTATTATTATTATTTTTTTCCAGTTCCAAAATAAAACACAAAGATACTACAACGGTGGATTTCCACAAAACGGAAGTTTGTCCAAACATTTGAAAAAGTTAAAAAACGACACACGAAAATATGCTAACGTTAATTTAAACGGTGATTTCTTTCTCTACTTCCGTTTCCGTTTCCGTTCGTGTGATTTATTATTAATTATTATTATTATTATTATTTAAAAAGGATTAGGAATAATCGATTTCGAAGTTTGGAGACCGGTATTCCGTCAAAATTGGAACGAACAAATCATTTACAAAAACAAATCCATAGAATTAGCGCAACATTTAAAAAACAACGGAAGTCTTAACGGGAAAAGTGTGAATGCTTCGGTATGCGGTGTTGTCGTTTGTTTTACATCATCGAACAATCGATCGTTATTATTATTATTATTATTATTATTATTGTTTTTAAAGGCCAAAGAAGAATTCGAAAAACACGCCAAAAAATTCATGTTGGAAACGCTTGAAGACGTTAAAAAATTGAGACCGGGAGGAAAATGGGGATATTATGGATTTCCATATTGTTACAATTACAGAGTCAACAACACTCCAGAATGTCCAGAGATTGCCGTTAGGGAAAACAACGAGTAGGGAAATTATTATTTTTCCGGGGGGAGGGGGCGTAAACAAAACAAAACGAAACAAACGTTTGCTTATAATTAAATTTTCTTCTATTTCCCAGAATTCTGTGGTTGTTCAACGAAAGTTCCGCTCTCTATCCTTCATTATACTTAAAACAATCATACAATTCGTCTGAACATGTCAAATTCATGATAGGAGTTCTGAACGAAGCTTACAGAATATCAGCCATGACGAATTACATTCCGGTTTATCCATACGTTCGATTTAAATATTTGGACACCGACGAGTATTTAACTCAGGTCGATTCCCTAATCTCTCACTCTCTCACTCTCTCAACGGCGAAAAATCATCATTATTAATGTTATTATTATTATCATCACGACAGGAAGACGCGTACAATTCTTTCGAAATACCACGACAGTATCAAATGGGTGGAATCATACTATGGGGTAAAAGTTCAGATTTAAACGACGAAGGAAAATGTTTGAAATTTTACAATTACGTCATCGATATAGTGGGACCTGCACTGAACAAAAGTCTAACGATGGGAAACAAAACGAATTCGACGATAACAACGTACGTCATAATAATAACTATGACGTCACTAAATTTTTTAAACGAGTAAAATTTTGTTTGTTTGTTTTCAGAACGGATTTTTAACGATTTCATCAAAAAAAAAAAAAAAAAAAAAATTATTAAAATTTAAAAATCAAATAAAAAATTTTTGCGTGTACGAAACGTCGTCATCTTTTTACACGTTTACTAATGCCACGTTAATAATTATTCAAACAAACGTTAATTTTTTTTTTTTTAATAAAAGTTTAAACAAAACTTATTTAATTTTCATCCTTAACCGTCAAATTTTGTATCGATTAATTGATCGATTGATTGATCGACATATAATTTGTATGTAACGACGATTGATTTCGATTATAGAAAAATAATAATAATAATAATAATAATAATAATTTAAGCAAATTTTTTTCAAAATAACCGTAAACCTGTTAACCTCGATTAAATAGAAAAGTTTTTAACAAATATAAAAGCGTTCGGTAATAAAATAAACAAATATATATATATATATCTGACTTTCTACTCACGTATTTGGATTAATTTCGATTTTATTACTGTAATTTCTTTTGTTTGTTTGTCTGTTTGTTTCTGCATTTGTTTGTTTGTTTGTTTGTTTGCGTACCACCGATTTACTCCTGTAAAGAAAAAAAAAGTAAATTATTAATATCGGAAAAACGTTATCATTATTAAAATAAAAAAAAACAAGGAATGATGATAATAATAATGTTTTAAATTATTAAGATAAATATGCGTAATTGCATAGAAAATTTTTTGTCTTTTGACACGATCATTTTTTTTTTCCTTTTTTCTTCCCGATTGTTTTTTTTTTTTGTTTGTATTAACAATGAAAACAAAAGAATATTGACGAGATGAAAATGAACAATGACAATGATAATTTTCCCATCATTCGGATTTAAGTTTTCCAACGGGAAAAGCGACAAAGAGAAAATTAATAATAATAATAATAATAAAAGTGTTGACGGATTCCGTGTGTTTTTTCCTATTAAATGATTTTGATTGAAAAAAAAAAAAAATTGTGGGAAAATGTTCAAATACGTACAAACGATGAATTTTGCAACGGCCATGTTAATTTTTCCTTTTGGCGTTTCGATAAGGTGATTCTAAACGTAGAATATTCTAGAATGAAAAACAGTAGTTTTTTTAATTTGTATTATTCTAGTACAAATGTGAGGCCGCCCACCACGACGACGACGACGACGACGACGACGACGGTTTTTCCTACTCCTAATACGTCAAATGGTTTTCCTTCGTTTGAAATGTCATCGTCGACCGAAAAAGATTCTTCTTCGACATTGTCGGATAATTCTTCTACGTCATATAAACCTTTCCCTTCTCCGAATAATTTTTCATCCCCCTTACCACCTCCATCATCTTCTTCTCTGTCTTCGTACTCTCCCCTTTCTCCTCTGTCATTCATGAATATTTCTTCGTCGACAACTACTTCCTCTCCTTCTCCGTTACCCGATGTAAATTCTTCGACACCGTCGTTGCCTTCAACATCTTCATCACCACCTGATAATTGTACAACATTGTCACCTTCAACTCTTTCATTATCTCCGAACAATTCTTCTACGTCATCTTCTTCTTCTTCTTCTTCTTCGCCCTCTTCTGTTTCTTCCACAACACCTTATACAGAAAGCTCTTCAGCATCCTCTCCGTCCTCATCCTCTTCCCAACTTCCCGATAATTCAACCTCCTCACCAATCAGTACAACTAATCCGACAACACCAACTCCGATTCCAGGATCGCATCGCGGATTTAAAATTTACTGGAACGTTCCATCGGACAGATGTAAAAAGCACAACATCCATTTTGAACCGCTGACGAAAATGTACGGTATAATCGCTAATAAAAATGATTCGTTCAGAGGAGAAAATGTAAGCATTTTATACGATCCTGGAGAATTTCCGATAATACAAAAGGTTCGAAAGTTTACTAATGATACGCGCACTCGACACTTACACTTTAAAAATAATAATAATAATAATTTCCATTTCAGTTTCCGAATAACACCGTAAAATATCACAACGGTGGATTTCCACAAAATGGAAGTTTAGAGAAACATTTAGAAAAATTGAAGGCAGACATCGAAAAATTCGTTTATAAAAATTTTTCCGGTAAGTTTTTTTATCATTTCCGTTTTCCGTTTGTGACAATTTTTTAAAACCACGAAAAAAATATCATCGATTCATATTCGTTTTCTCCAAAAAAAAAAAAAAAGGTTTGGGAATAATCGATTTTGAAGTATGGAGGCCAGTTTTTCGTCAAAATTGGAACGATCAAGTCATATACAGAAACAAATCATTCGAATGGGCAAAAGAATTAAAGAACAATTGTTCAATAGCAGAAGGAAAAATCAATGCGACGGTAAGTTAACGTTTTTTTTCACGTTCGAACGCTTTAATTATTCCCGTTTTCAAAAAATTTTTAGGCAAAAGAAACGTTCGAAGCACACGCCAAAAAATTCATGTTGGAAACTCTTAAAGAAGTTAAAAAATTGAGACCGGAAGGAAAATGGGGATACTACGGATTTCCATACTGTTACAATTATAGAGTTAATGATACTCCAGAATGTCCGAAAATTGCCGTTAAGGAAAACAACGAGTAATAATAATCAATCTCTCTCTTTCTCTCTTTCTCTCTGGATGATTTAATTTTTTTTCGGGGGGGGGGGATATAAAAATTCCAGGACTTTGTGGTTGTTTAACGAAAGCACGGCTCTTTATCCATCGATTTACATAAAGACGAAATACAACGAAACGGAACACGTAAAATTTATGATTGGAAAATTAAATGAAGCTTATAGAGTTTCCGCCATGGCTAATTACGTTCCCGTTTATCCATACGTTTGGTTTAGATATTTAGACAATGATACTTATTTAACAGAGGTATTTACATAATAATAATAATAAACAGGTGTTTTCACTTTATGATAACAAGTAGTTGTTGTGTGTCGATGAATGACGTTTCTAGGTTTTTCTTTTTAAAAAAAATACCTAACCAATAATAGTAATGATAATAGATATGTGTCCTTACCTTAATTTTATTCCAGGCCGACATGTTTTATTCCATAGACATACCAAGACATTATCAAATGGGCGGTATCATTTTGTGGGGAAAAGGATCGGATTTGGATTCCAAAGACAAATGTCAAAAATTTTTCCAATACATGAACGAAACCTTAGGACCGGCTTTGAATCGAAGTCTGTCCTATGGAAACCGTTTAAATCACACGATACTCCAGTGAATCGACGATTTATTAAAATGACGTCACGTCATCTGGAAAATTAAAAGTGAGATATATATAATTAATATTGTACCTATTAAAATCGTATTATCATCATTATTATTATTGTAAAACCTTATTGTATTTATTAACAAGTTAGACGTAGTCGTTTTTTTTGCGCACGCAAATAAGGAAAAAATTTTTTTTAAAGAAAAATGCCTTAAAAATAATCGTTAAACTATTTTTTCACGTACGCGTGATAAAAAAGAATCTAGCGTTTGTTTTTAGGCGCGCTTTTTTTTTAAATTTCCTTATTCGTGGCACTAGAATAGAAAAAAATCATTTGAAATTTGTTTCATGCATTCTTATTTAAATAATAATAATAATAACCTTATATCGTTTAACGTTCTAATCATCCTTTCTCTACCTTCCCGGATTAATTTTTTAATATTTTAAACACTTCGTCGTCTCTTGTAAATTTCCCACCGACCTAACAAACAAACAACAAATAAATAAATAAATAAATAATAATAATAATAAGACAAAAGAATTATTTTTTTATCATCGAACTTTAAGTAATGTAATAATAATATTAATAATAATAAAACAAAGTCGAACGATTTATTTATTCGCGGAATTAAAAACGTGAATTAAAAAATGAAAAAAAATAAAAAAATAAATAAATAATTTAAACAATAACTGTCGTGGCATTATCGTTAATACAAAATTACACACACACACACGCGAGCACTCGGGAAAATCTTTTCAATTCACAAAAGTAATTTAATTATTATTATTATTATCATTATCTTTTTTACCCAGCTTCTTATTTATTTATTTATTTTATTTTCGTCTCACACCGATTTCTATTATATTTTTCCTTATTTGATTTAATATTACGAAATTTGCAAAAATTTGATAACACAACTAGCTTCTATATAAACTTATAAAATTTCATTTGAAAAAATGAAAAAAACAACGAAAACGGTCGGAAAATGAACGACAACAACAACAACACGTTAAAATTTTTTCCAGTATACATAGCGACCATTTTGTTTTTGATTTTTCCAAACGTTTCGTGCATAAGGTAAGAATGAAGAATAATTTATTAAAAAATATATAAATCGTCGTTTTAAATGATTTTTTTTTTAAAGGATTCAATTAAACTGAAATGCGAGAATGGAAAATTTTTCATTTTCCGGTTCGGAACGTGGTTTTAACGTTTTTTGGAACGTACCAACGGAAAATTGTCGAAAACACGGCATCGATTTCGAACCTCTCATTCAAACGTATAAAATGATTTCAAATAAAAATGATACTTTCAGAGGTGGGAACGTCACGATAATTTACAATCCTGGATATTTTCCGACCGTTAAAAAGGTACGAACTGTTCCCCTTCCCCCTCCCCTCTCTCTCTCTCTCTCTATCTCTCTCTCACTCATTCTTTTTCATTTTAGCTGTCGAACGGTACCGAAATCGTAACAAACGGTGGAATACCACAAAAAGGAAATTTAACTTTACATTTGGAAAAGCTAATAAAAGATTTGAAAAAATATTCTCACGAATATTTAAACGGTTGGTAATGCAATAAACAAAAAATTTAAATTTACCTCCTTCATGAAATTTTTACTTAGTTCCACGACGTTTTTCCTTTCCAAGGTCTTGGTGTAATAGATTTCGAATCGTGGAGACCGATATTTCGTCAAAATTGGAACGAACAAACAATCTATAAAAACAAATCAATAGAATTAGCCAAAACATTCATCGAATATAATAATAATAATAATAGGACGACGATAAATTATTTAAAATTAATTAATGACACGGTAAGTTGTCGGTGTTTAATTTTGGCGGGAAAATTTTAAATTTTTGTATCATCATTTTCTCTCGTAGGCTAAAAACGATTTTGAAAAAAATGCAAAAAAATTCATGTTGGAAACGTTGAACGTTGTAAAAAAAACAAGACCCGGAGGAAAATGGGGTTATAATGGATTTCCATATTGTTAACAGTTATAGCGACAACGTGGAACCAGAATGTCCCAAAATGGCCGTTCATGAAAACAATAGGTAATCTACATTTTAAATTTTTATTTAATTAATAATTTACGTTTCGTTATTTAAAAAATTTTTTAGAACTTTATGGTTGTTCGATTCGAGCACGGCCCTATATCCGTCCATTTATTTAAAAAGAAAACATAACGAAACCGAACGTGTCAGATTCACGATAGCCGTTCTAAACGAAGCTTATAGAGTTTCCGCCACGTCTAATTACGTTCCAGTTTATCCATACGTTTGGTATAAATATTTGGATAACGACACGGAATATTTAACAATGGTAACAAACATATGTTTTTTTACTCAATGACGATGACGTAACCACACTTGAAATTTTTGTTTTTTTTTTTTTTTAAAGACGGACATGTTTAATTCCATCGTAATACCTAAACAATATCAAATGGGTGGCGTCATCATTTGGGGTAAAAGTTCGGATTTAGATTCTAAAAACGAATGCCAACAATTTTATTATTATTTAAAAACAACGCTCGGACCCGCATTATACGAAAATCTATTAAATAAAAATTATTACAACGAAACACTTATAAAGTAAGTTAAGTTTTTTTTTTTTTGTAAAGTTGGATGCACTGTCGGAGAAGTTAACAAACACGTCATTCATCCGACATTTTAAACCAATATAAAAAATTTTTTCCGTTACAGCACAAATTTTTAAATCACCGTCGTGTCTTTAGAATTCATCGTTTGTGAAAAGGGAAATTTTTATAAATTCAAAAGTTGGTAATACGCGTTTCAAATTTTTTTTTTCTTTCGAGACCATTAAAAACCGATATTATTATTATTATTATTTGTTTATTATTTAATGACGACGACGACGACGACGATGACGACAACAACAACAAACGTCTCTTAAACTAAATAAAAGAATGTTTATTTTTTTTTTTTTTGTCATTTAAATAAATTGAAAAAAAAAAAAAAAAATTGTCGTCTGCTTTTTATTATTATTATTATTTATTCATTTCTCGTTACTTTATAAATATCAACAACGATCTGTACAAAAAATTTTATTATTTTTTTTTTTTTAAAAAGTAAAAAATTTACATTACAATTGATTTTTATTATTTACAAAAAAAAAAAAAAAAACTTACGGTTTATACCCCTCACCTCTCTACTCCCTCCCTCCTTCCCTCCCTCCCCACGAAAAATAGAAAAAAAAATTTAGTCATTAACATAAAAAAAATAACGAGAAAAAGGTAATCAAACACACCTATACGAATAAAACAAAATGTCGTCGTTGTCGTCGTCGTCACCGTTGACGTCGTTATTAAACTATCCCCGGGGATTTTACGACGATAATTTTCTTAATAATAATAATAATATTTTTACTAAATAAATCATCATTGGTAATTTAATCCCGTTAACTTTATTATTATTATAGAAAAAGTTTTTTTTATTTTTATTTTTAAATCGATTAAAGTTATTTTTAAAATGAAAAACTTTTTCTTCTAAGGTAAACAATCAATTTTTCATCCGCCATATTTGTTTATTTTCTCTCGCAAAAACGGTTAAAAAAAAAAAAAACATTGGATTTTACGTCATCGTGACGTAATTACAAAACAATTACCGACGCGTTTTCTTTTTTTCTTTTTTCGCGTTATTTTATTTTAAAGCGATTGTGACGTCATCCACAGAATAAATAAACGTTTTTTTTTTTTCAAATACGATATTTAAAAAAACGCGCGTTAAAATTTTTTTTTTTCCGTTTTAATTTACAAAATAACGCGAAAATTTTAAACCGCCATTTTGTTTTCATTTCTTTCTTTCTTTTAAATTAATTTTTAACCGTTTTTTTTTTTTTTTTTTTTTAAATTAAAATCTATTCGAAATAATAATTATTATTATTATTATTACGTGTCATCGTTTTTATTTAAATCTGTCAAAATCATTATCATTATTATTATATCTTTATTATTAACGACAATGAATCATTTAATAACGAAATGAATGAGTCGTAATAATTGTTTAATAATAATAATAATAATAATTTTTCCTTTTGTTAAAATGATTTGAATGAATGAATGAAATAAACGGTGCGGAACCTGAAAAAAAAAGAACCTAAAAACGTTGGGGGAAATAAACCCTCGAAAAAAAAAATTTATTATTATTACCATTATTATTATTATTATTATTAGGAAAAGGAAAATATTGAAATATTTACGCGAACGGATTTGAATGGTCTCACCATTTCTCTCGTTTAGTAACACAGTCCAGACGGGAATACGTGCTCTGGATATGAAAAATGAACAAAGAATATAAATTTTTTTTTTTTTTTTTAATGTTAAAAAGATTCCGATAAGTGATAATAATAAAAGAGAGAGAGATAGATAGAGATAGAAAAAGAAAGAAAGAGAGAGAGAGAGAGAGAGAGAAAAGGAAAATCGTGACGTGTAAATAGTTAGAGATTGAATTAAATTTTTTTTTTTTTTGGAAGATATAAATCGTCATACATTTATAAAGACGTCATACATTTAAACGTTTTCGTAGATGGATCGAGGAGAGGATTGAGGGGAACGGAGGTGACGAGGGACGGAGAGGGGAGGGGGAAACGCACGATGGCAACTGAAAAAAAGAAAACCTGCCAATCAGTTTTTTTCGAGGGTTAACAATGGCGCTGGGTTAACAATGAAACGCCCTTTTCAAAACTAAATATTCATCTTCGAATTGTGTAAAAATAATAATAATAATAAACGGGTGTTAAATGAACCGACTGGTAAAAACACTTTGAAAGAAGGAGGGGAGGGGGTTACTCACATGTCAATTTTTTTTTTTTTCCATACACCCCAACTCAAGATTCTGCGGTTCTAATTCTCTATGCCATCATTATTTTATTCCTCTGTGTGCTAATACTTTATGAAAAATCACTCAACCTTGAAAAATTTGGGTGAACTCTTCAAAAGAATTATCAAAGTTTTAACTACTGCTGCCACCACCACCACTACCACCACCACCATCACCACCACTGGCATTGCTGTCAAAGGGAGAGTATTTATTTTAAGTGAAAATCACATGTACATGTACATATAGTCAACGACAGTTTATCCAATTGTATTCCCTCTCTCACGAAATCCGATTGGGGGATTAATCCTTTAAGGATTAACTTAATCTATCTATATAGGTTTTTATTTGTAAAAAAAAAAAAAAAATAGTAAGGGATGTTTATGAGATAACATGAAAGGACTCCTCTTTTCAATGTTAACTAAATCCGAATAATTCAACGGAGAAAAAAAAAAAAAAATTGCCTAATGGGTTTTATCTTTGTTTAACAATAAAACTGGAGGCTCCAGAGTTTGGGTCTTTGCCCGTGCGAATGGAAAAAAAAAACCGAATGGTGAGACTATTTTTTTTTTTTTATTTACTCAATTACGCGTATTATCACGTACGTACCTACCGACATGGGCAAGGATTAAATTTAGGCACGGTCGTCGTCCATTGGTAATAACTAAATTTCAAATATTTAAACATTAGGGCCAACAAAACAAAACAAAAAAATTTTAATTGATTGACGGTCCCAGTTAGTTAAAAAACGATTCTGGAATACGAAAACAAATTCGGGAAATGATTGTACCTGGTTAATTCAAATACGCAAAATTAATTTGGCGGGAAAATTTTTTACTAAAGATCAACGACATTGATCTTGAATGGAAGGCGGTGGAAAATTAAAACTCGAATGATTTTTAAACTTAATCCAAAAATAACAACCTTGTTATTTCGAACTAAAATTTGTCTTTCTCTCTCTCTCTCTCATTCACTCCCTTTCTTCCTCTCTCTCTCTCTCTCTCATTCTCTCCCTTTCTTCCTCTCTCTCTCTCTCTCTCTCATTCTCTCCCTTTCTTCCTCTCTCTCTCTCTCTCTCTCATTCTCTCCCTTTCTTCCTCCCTCTCTCTCTCTCTCTCTCTCATTCTCTCCCTTTCTTCCTCTCTCTCTCTCTCTCTCATTCTCTCCCTTTCTTCCTCTCTCTCTCTCCCTCTCATTCACTCCCTTTCTTCCTCTCTCTCTTGCTCTTTCTCTTTCACATTAAATACATTTAATCCAAAATAATTATTATTTGTTCATTTGGAACGAAAAGATTAAAGAAAAACGTTTAGGAAAGTGGATGATGATGATGATGATGATGATGATGATAATGATAAGATGAAGAAGATACTAGACGTGAAACAAACCTTACAAAAAAAAAAAAATGGCGGATTTTTTTTAACACAACATTCGCAACTAACAGACAGCACGTCAATTTAACTTTTAAAAAAAATTCCCTGACGGCGGAACGAATAAAAAAAAAAAAAAAAAAACTTTTTTCTGCTACCACGTCGTCGCTAGTTACTTAAGTAAACGTTACAATCAATAAAAAAAAAAAAAAATTTACGATTCGAAAGAAACAACAAAACTTTATACAAATAAAAAATAAAAGTGAAGAAAGGGAAAAATGTCGCCGTTCCCACTAAATTTTAACTTTATATATTAAGTAAATTAAGGTACGATGCAAATAAAAATCCGTTTTTTTTTTTTTTTCCATATACGAAACCTAAAATTATTCTTTTCACATTGTATTATTATTATTATTATTTTTCATTTACTTTTTAATTAATTCGAAAGAAAAAAAGGAAAAAAAAGAAACGAACCGACGCTCCCACATCGACATACCTAAATCGAAAAAAAAACTTTTTTAAAACTCCCCCCTCCCCGCTGCCATATTTTCCACATTCGATTTCCTTTATTGCAAATGTCACCCAATTTCCCCCCCCCCCTTTTTTTTTAAAACCTTTTCTCATAAAACAATCTTTGTAAATTTTGTTATTTAATTTAACGTGAAAGTAATTTAGATAGCGATAATGTTTCGTCTGGAAGAAAAAAAAAAAATTTTTTAAGTTCAACGTCACGAAAATGATGACGACGATGACGACGACGACGACGACGACGACGTGATCATGCATGCACTTTTTATTTACTTTTTTTTTTTTAATTAACCCAAAACAAACATAATCATTTAAGGACTGGTGTGTGAGTGCGTGAGTGCGCGTGCAACGAAACCGAAATGAAAAAAAAAAAAAATTTGTATAAAGACGCCGCGTAAAAATCATAAATGGATCGATAGATCGATCGATAGCCTTAATTAAAGACAATCGATATATCGATCGATATTTGTTCAATTGTTTACATTCGTTAACAGAGGATAGGAGAGGGGAGCAGATGTTTTCGTCGGAAATATAACAATCTACCAACATTCACCTTACGCTCCTGCCCATTTTTTTTTTTTTTTAAATTTAATTTTCATACGATTAAATCCTGGATACGGTATTGATTCAAACGAATCTTTTTTTTTTTTTTTTTTTTTTTTTTTTAACGCCTAACAATGGGAAAAAATAAATTTTTCACGTTTTTTCCCCCGCTCTTACAATTATTATGCATATGCATGTTATTGTGAAGCGAAATAAATAAATAAAAAAAAAAGAACAAACAACAAACAACAACAACAAAAACCTATTATTATTATTATTATTATTAATTCTTTTAATAACGGCCGACGCGTATTTGCAATGA